CTCGTACTAGCTCCATTTAATTCAAACACCACGTTTTTAACTTCTTCCATTCCAGGTAGTCTTGTTATCTCCTCGTCCTGCTCCTTTGTAATCAATTTTGGGATTACATTGAGCATCCCTTTATCCCCCGATGTTTGATCTTCTTTGAATTGTTTTCTCAAGAAGGCCACAGCCTCAACTCCAATATTCTCGCTTGTGTTGATGGTATCGGCCTTCTGCTGTTTGAATCTCAGTTAGGCGTAATTTTTTTCCTTCTCCCCTTTATGTAATTGTGGAAAAATCTCGTATTTCTGTCCCATCTTGAAACCATCTCATGCCGGCCTTCTGTTTCCAGAATTCCTCTTCCACGTAGAGGAATTTTTTCAACTCTGTTTCTGCCAACTTCAGCTCCTCCCTATTTTCCGGTGTTGGACTTATCTCTAGTTGTATCTATGTCTTCCAGTGTCGCAATCTAGTGTAAAATATCCCCAAATGTTTCCCTGCTCCAACTTGCTAGCACCCTTTTTAGTTTCTTTATTTTAGTCCGAAACTAAGTAAAAGGGTTCCCCACAAAATCAATCCTCCATTTTTCCTCAATAAGTTTCATGAACTTGGGATGTTTTACCCAAAAATTGAGAAACCTAAAAGGCTTCACTGTTGGCTCTTTCTCAATACTGCATTCCATGTGAAGTGGGGCGTGATCTGATCCTTGTCTTACTAGATGTTGAACTTCACTAGTTGGGAACAAGTTGTGAACTCTAGGTTGCCAAACACTCTATCTAATCTCTTAAAAATGCATTCTCTTTCAATTCTACCATTCCACTATGTAAACTTGCTGCGTGAGTATTTCAATTCTATCAAAGCACAATTCTTTATGCATTGACTAAAATCCATGGCTTCAAATTGTGTGAACTCCAATCCCCCTTGCTTCTCCTCTTCATTTAGTATCACATTAAAGTCTCCACCCACAAGCCACGGGAGAGTATTATCCTCAGCAAATTGTTCTAGTTCTTCCAAAAGTTCTAGTCTCTGAAGAGCATCACATATTGCATATACAACTGTATTCAGGATTTCCACATTACTTTTGCTAATTTTCACTGTAAGGTGTTGCCCACTCTCCCTAAATACTTCACCTTTCCAATCATCTTCCCAGAATACCCATATCTTAGATGCACATTTACAGTACAGATTTTCCATTCCCAGCTTCTTTTTGTATTGTTCTAGTTCTTGTGGTCCTTGAAATGGTTTCATAAGAGCTATAAAATTGCACTTATGCTTTCTATTTAGATCTCTTAGTCTCTCAAATGCCTTCTGAGATTTTACAGACCTAATGTTCCAAAAGATCGCCTTCTCAATCATTGTGAAACTTCTTCCGACCTATCCTGCTGCTCCTTGTTTTCACTTGTAATGGAAGTGAAGATTGATTTGGTTTTCCCAATCAATTTTTCACTTTCTTTAAAAAAATAATAAAAGAATTATACATTTTATCTTTATTACTTACTTTTTTGTCATCCTAATTAAAAGTAGAGAAAATCAACGTATAATTAAATATGTTTTTCTCTTTTTTATATTAGTAATAAATAAATAAAAATATTCCTTCTGTCTTTATTTACATCTGACTTAATACACCTATTTAAAAAATAGTAATCAATATTGTGAGTTTAATATTTAACCCTATTAATTGATAGAATTCTAAAATTAATTTACTCAATAATGAGGTTCTACATTTTTCAAACTCATGAGTAACTCTCTAAATAAATTGAGGGTATAATAGATTAAATTTTTTTGTATATTCTCAATTTATCAAAAAATAACAAGTAAAAAAGGACAAATAAAATATCAAAATTGTATAAGTAAAAAAGAGACAGGGGTATTGACTAATTCACATAAAAAAATTAAAAGTGTCTATCACACATACACATTCTAAATTGGGATTGCTTAGATATACTTTCTTTTTATTTATTGAAAAGAAACTAAAGAAAAACTATTTATTGGATAAAAATTAACATTTAAAATTATTTAAGATAATAAATAAAGATATATTAATCAAAACACATAATTTTGAAAATGGTATGTTACAAGTAAATTGGTTCAGATGGAGTAGTGTTTACTCCCTCCGTCCCATTTTATATGAGGTACTTTGACTCGACACGGAGTTTAAAAAAGAAATGAAGACTTTTAAAACTTGTGGTTCAAAATGAATGATAGAAATTTGTGAGGCTGTAAATCATTTCATTAAGGGTAAAATAGATATTTTATAGTTAAATTGTTATTTTATATAGAAATATGTCATTCTTTTTGGGACTGATTAAAAAGGAAAGTGAGTCACATAAATTGGGACAGAGGGAGTAATTATAATGGAGTTGGGAAATCATGAATAGTTAATATGAAGATTATATAAATAATTATTTCTGTCCTAATACATTAAAATAAATAAAAATGTATTATCACGGTGGACAAGTACGATGATGTTGAATGCTGCATTTCTGCGATCTGATGAAATGACGAGTGTTGCAATTAGTATTTATTTATGAGTGTGTTCTTGAGATTGCCGTTGGACGTGGCCCCTTCATTTTATTAGTAGTAAGTATTAGTATTGTCTTCTTCCTTTTGGTTTTCTCTTTACTTCATCCCATTTATATTAATTATTAATCACGTTTCTTTTATATCCATACGAAGTAATTATAAATAAAAAATAACTTTATCAATTCAATTTATAATGAAGTAATTATAAATAAAAAATAATTTTATCAATTCAATTTATAATTTTTTTTTTGAAAATTTACAAACTAATGTGAACACTTTAAAAGAAAAAAGTGATTACAAGAGTAATAAGTAATGTTTTATAAATTTAATAAATGGACAAACTATTTTTAGTAAGATGATCAACTAATATAAGAAGAAACCAGTATTTATAAGATTTCAAGTATTACCATATTGCTTAGCGTAAAATAATTGATATTTTATAATATTAAGTTATTTAAATGATATTTATACGTGACGTTTGGCAAAATGTGTAAAATTATTTAGAGAAAATGAATAATAGTTAAAACTCTTTTTATATGCTCCTTTGTCTCTATTTACTTGCCCATTTTTTATTTGATACACCTATTAAAAATAAAGTAATTGACTTAGTGAATTTATTATTTTACCTCTATTAATTAATAGAACTTCATAATCAATTTACTCATTTAAGAGGTTTTATCTTTTTGTCAAAAATAATAATTCTTTAAATAAATTAAGGATGTAATAGATTTAAAAAATAAAAAAAATTCTTGATTTATCAAAAATAAAAAATTTTAAAATTAAAATTGGATAAATAAAAAGAAAGTAATAGAATTGTAAGTTGTATAGTATAGGATGTGTGGTGTAGTGAGTGGTGATAGGCTGGCATGGAGTTGTTTAAATTATGATTGAGATAGTATAGTATAGTAGGGAACAAGTGTTCGTTTAGGAGGAAAAGATTCCTCTTTTCCCGACCACTAGTACCATTTGGCATGCATCTTAAGGCCCTCTCTTTTATTTTTTTACACTTAATTTCTTCATTTTTATTTGCTTTATCAAACAGAATCCTATGACAATTCTTTTGTCATTCCCATGTTTCACACCTTTAAACTTCTCAAACTTCTCCTCTCAAATGTTTTTTTAAAAAAACTTATCTCATGCTAATTACTATTCCCTCTACAATTATTAGAACTTTTTGTACGTAAATTGTTTAAGTTAGAAGAAAATTGTTGAGCTTTTGTTTATATATATATATATATATATATATATTCTTTATTTAATAAGGTCCTTAACAACTTTATATTTTCCAATAGTTTACTAACTAGTATGAATTAGAAGGAGTACTTGAAAGTACAACAGGGGGGGTGAATTGCTATTTTTCGATTTTTCCTTAAGAGTAGCTGACTTAAAGTGCCCTTTAGTCGACTACTGATAGCAAATAAGAGTTAATCAAAAACAGGAAAGTAAACTTGACACAAGATGTTTTTATACTGGTTGGGATCCAATGTGGATCTTACGTCCAGTCCCCTTGGGTTGCAAGGGTGTTCTCTTCAAGTTGTTGAACTTTTGGTGTGAGTACAGGGATGAATGTAGACTGTTTACACTCGGTGTTTGTTTCACTCTAGTTTTGATACAAAGCCTTACCAACAATATTTTTCTCTCCTCTCTTTTTTGTTTACATAGTAGAACTAGGTAATACAATGCTTGATAAAAGTAGAGAAGGGAATGTGAGACGATTCAGGCTTGTTGTACACTTTCTTCTGCCAATCGAGCCTCCATTTATAGTGTTTGAAGTCTTGAATCTTTTCTGTGAAGAGATAGCAACCCAAGAGATTTGATCCTTGGAAAATAAGGCAAGAGATCCTAATTTTCCAAGAATAAAGCTCAAGACTGATTTCCAGTCTTGATTCTTGTTCGGCTTCCTTGATTGCCTATTTGATTATAGCCGTTTTATCTTCCTTAATTGATTGTAGGTTGTAGCCGTTGTGTTCTTCAGTTTGGCTTTCAAACATTTCTCTTCCTTTATTGAGTGTAAGTGATTCTTGTTCTACTTCCTTGAATGTTGCTTTGAATATAGCCGTTGTGTTCTTCATTGCTAGTTGTCGAGATATTCACCTTCCTTGATTTGTGCTTTTTGTGATTTTTACATTCTGAGGATCTCTATCTAAATCCTTGATTGATTATGTCTCAATCAGGATCCTTTGACAAGTAATCTTACTTGATTTGTGGGGATTCAGGAATGATTCTTTCCCTTTTTGGTGATACGTTTGCCCTGCAAGGAAATATGTTGTTTATCATTAAAACTTTACTCTAACAATCTCCCCCTTTTTGATGATGACAACATATAGTAAAGATACTTCCCTGTTATAGTTGACTTGTATTGCTGAGAGTTGATTTGCTCCCCCTGAAAGAGTAAGAGGTAGTTGGCTAGTGGAGCTGAGTTCTTATCATGCTCCCCTTGAAGATATGCAGGAGTTTTTCTTTGCTATGCAAATAAAAATTCATATATCCAGCGATCCTAAAGGAGATAATAAAAGAGATAAGAAACAGAATAGAGAATCACAGTTATTAAAAGCAGTCAACACAAGAAACTGATAGCATATAGATAAAGATAATTAATTATCCCCCTTTAGCATCAGCAAAAAGGAAAGAATATAGAGTTTCAACAAAAGAACTAAACAACAGATAGTCCTACGATGAGGCGTATGCTCAACACAAAAGCAGTAGAAAAACACCACACAATAATCAACGGGGACACAAGAAATAGGTCAGAGTGCTGACTATACCAGTCGACATTTCTTCAAATCTGGAGGAAAGAGAGGTGGAGATGGACTTGGAACCACCTTGAACTTTGGTAGTAATTTTGATGGCTTCCTTCACGATTTGATCCAACCTGAGATGAATACGGGCAACATCAGCACCTGTTTCCTTGGTGACATCTTTCACACTGTCTATCTTAAAATGGGCAGACAACAGGAGATCCTTCAGAGAGTCCACTTGCTCACTCATTGCAGTCAACTTGGTCATGAGATCAGAAACTTGAGCAATAGTAATGGCCATAGCGTATAGCTTGGTATGCATCTCAGCAAGGCTGTTAAGAGCAGCATTGGGCTTGGTAGTTGACACAGAAGTGGAGGAGAATGATTTAGATTTCACAGGAGCATCATCCAAATCATCCGCATCAGTGTTGAGAACCCAAGAAGAGTTAGAGCGAGTAAAACCCATGCTAAGAAAATCACGTGAGTTATACCTCAGTTTAATAGGAACAGGGGAGAACTCTCCAAGACACATGAAGTGTGACTCAAATATACGAGTGATAATCATGCCAAAAGGAAGATTGGAAGGATCAGATATGACGTCAGTCATGGCGGAGAGAATAAAGGACGATAAATGCACTTTAACACCAGACACCAAACAATAAGCAAACAGAGTGTCACGCTGAGAAAGCGTAGAATGAGAACCAACCCTAGGAAGAAGGGTGGTAGCTACAATATGGGCAATGACACGAGTCTCGAAGGAGAGGTCTTTAGGCCCTAGATGGGAGGGGATAGGCAGACAGGGGTCAAGAACGATTTCACGCTTAGCTTGTTCAATAGAAACATCACTGTAACGGTTCTTTTGGGGGGCCATAATTCCAGAGCACGAAATACAAAACATAGTATCAAACTTTTTACAATCAAGAAAAAATCGCTTACCCAGAACTAATGACTCAATTTCACCATCCTTAGGGGAGCGAAGATTAGCATAGAACAGACGGATAAGAGGTTCATACACAACCATGGGCACAGAGAAAATCTTTGCCCAACCCTGAAACTCAAACAAGTTTTTAATATGTCAATCTAAGGAGGAAAAAA